GTACAATGTAGAAATGAAAATTATTTTAATGAACATTTTCAAGTATTTCATTGCAAAATCAAATGTTGTAAAGCAAAGAAAGATCAATTAAGAAAGACTCCAAAATAACAGACTTGTTTTTTTACGCAGTATAAAGTTAGTCCAGGTTCAGGCAAAAGTGACAGTTATATTTTATAGGGCGCTATATTTCAAGAATTGCATTTCAGAATTTTTCAGATTTTGCTCAAAAAACGAAAGTTTTAACCTAACACAAACAGGGCAAGAACTCAATAACCCTTCAGAAACATGTCATGCTGCACCAAGAGCTCCTATTCAGATAGATTCATTGAAGGACGGGAATGGGTAAGTAGATACAACTCTTGAACTTCAGGATACTTAACTAACGTAACAATTTACAAATTGATATATAGGAAGTCAAAGAGAAAGTCTGGATGCAAGTGTATAATCAGTACCACGAACATTAATGCACCTACACGATATTCTACTACGTCTACACCAACCACAATAGGCTAATAAGGGAAGAGATTACAAGAATCTTTTTAAAAAGGCACAAGAATTGTAGAATCAGCAGCAGAGTGCAGGAAAAAGCCTGCTACAAAGGAATAGCATAGTGTAAATGTATTTACAGGAAGGAAAAATAGTGAAAGTTTCTTGCAATATGGAAATTCAGTGAGGAAGTTGTCGGTAATATATCTGATAATCAGGATGACAAACAACTGATGTTGGCCCTGAACAGAGCTTCATTAAATCCTGGTATTTGCCGTCTGATATCTTAGGACCTGACAGATAGCATGACTGAGGCTGGAGACGTTCAGTGTCTGTGCTTCTTGTAGATTTGTCGAGCTTGATCACAGAAAAGGCATCATCGGTATGAGAGTACTTGAAAAGAAGTTCATCAGATTTGACCTTCATCACCTTGACCTGCTTAAGCTTTGTCCAGTCAATGCCTTTACCATCCTCAGACAAACGAACCCTGAGGATGCCACGCTTCTGTGAACATGACTTCCTATCCTGAATGTCCAGTGACTGGACAGTGAAAACATGGTAAGGCCTTGGGTTTTTCCGTGCCATTTTACAGATGGATACCAACTGGGAAGGGACAGAAATGTCACGCACCTGTCTGGTAGCTCTTTCAATGGTGCTTTGCGTAGAATCACCTCAGACTACCCATGGTTTGTTTCAAAGTAATGTAGTGTGACATCACGAACAGTCTGAGAGTGCTTGATGAAATATAGAAGCATTGCT